GTGTTTATTGCAATTTGTTACGTGGAAGTGTATTTGCCTTGTGTTGTTGGGGAAACAGTGTATTGGTCTAGTTTTCCTTGGTGTGCTTTCTCTCTCTCACTGTAATGACTCACAGGTGGAGCTGCTAACGAGTGACCTGATTGGTGACGCTGTATTTAAGGGGGCTTTCACACTGGCAGTTTAGTTCGGAACTGGGCACGGTTCGCATGAAAAATCGCTAATGTGAACGCTGTCATGGGACCCGGGTGCGCACTGGGGTACCGAACCCGAGACTACCTGGAAGAGGTGGTCTGAGTTCGGTTGCTCCCGAGCCGTGCCGCGGTTCGCGTGAATGTGAAAGCAACACGGACTCGGGTGCGCACTTGTTCAGGAAGTAAAGTAACCTGCGCATGCGTTTTTAGCTTATTGCGATGTATTTATTTAAATAAAACGCTTGTAAGGGATGATAGTGTTTATTTACCTTGGATACGAGCGAGAGTGAGCCTGCGTGCAGTGTATTCGTGCATTGCGCGTGGAATCAGGGCAACAAAGTTGGAAATCCACTGTCTCCTAAAAAGAGTCCGTTTGCAAGCAGCCGAAGTCCACCTTATGTGACACACGCACAGTAAACCTGTAGTGTTCACTCAACTGCGCATAATAGCAGCGAATTAATAATAAAAAAATATATATTGACCCACGTTCTGTTTTCTATCATGCGCCGTGCACGTTTGCGATGACGTCATATGCACGCAAACGCACCAGGGTTCGATAGAATCAAGTTGAGTGTGAAACCAGACCAACGCTGCGGGGGGCGCCGGGGACAAACGCGCTCGGGCTCGGACCGCAGCAAACGAGCCCAGTGTAAAAGCCCCCTAAGTCTCCTGAATCATGGATCTACAGCTCCCCGCTCTCATGGCTTCCTTGATGAAGACATGAATTAGTTAGCTTTGTTTTGTTATTTGTTTTGGCTTTTCCCCCTCCTGGGGCTCGTTCTTCGTACGTCGCTAACTCAGTTAGCTGGATTTGGTTGTTGGCGATTTGGCATGATCTTGGATCGTTTGGTTCTTCGAAGCTCATCCTAGACTTGCTGTCATAGCAACAGGTGCGCTAGCTTGAACCGCTCGTGAGCAGGCTTATTTCATGTAAACAGGATTAGATCGCGCCTTTATAAGCGGAGGTGAAACGAGAAGTCTTTAACGCAGCGCGATAGTGTAGGCTACTTTTTGAGAGATATAATTTTTCTCATGACTCGTGAGGATGTCATTTACATCAATTATTTTTTGGAAACGCACATTAAATGTTCGACTCGTCGGAGTCGGCCTTTAATAACAGCACAAACTGTGTGCATTGTCCTGATATTATTTGCGAGTGGCTCTTTTCCTTTAAACTATTGGAGATGCGGAGAACTTGATAAGTGCTGTCTGTCGTGTCATTCACAAAGTTTACCCTGGCGCTCAAGCAGTTTTTAGGGTGTTTTTTTGTGGCATTTCCAAGCCAGTTTAGACCCAAGGTTGTAGGCTATAGCAGGTTTTTTTTTTTTTTTTTTTTTTTAGCCAACGCAGGTATTATAATTTTTAATGAAGATCATGCAATCATGAACATGCCGATTAGACACAGATATGTCCCTCAGGCTTCACTAATGTGATTGGTCAATAGACTGCACACATGTTCCCATCAAGGCCTCTATGAAGGGGATTTTGTGAACAGAAAGGGGGATCACAATGTAAATGTGCAGCCAAGTTACTATTACAATTCTTAATATTCCAGATAAGTAATATTATATCAAATTTAAAAAAAGGCAGTTGACAGACTAAATTCTCTAGATGGTGTGTGACTGTTCCATATCACAAATATGGAAGCACAGAGATTCACATTTATCCACATTACTTGAACATGGTAAGGAAAAGTATAAATATCAAGCTCACTGTATTACATACAAAGTTACAATGCAGCTCTAGCCAAGAGATGGTCACACAATGAAATGAACTTTGGCCAACTAAAGGGAAGATTTCAGTGTCTGAAAAGCCTGAGGGTTGCACTTGACAGGGCCTGTGACATTACATGTGCCATATTACACAACATTTCCACCATCAGCAAAAATATAAAACATTTCATTAAATGTTTAATAAAAGACAAGACAAATATGCTTAGTTCTTTGATTTTTTATTTAAATTGTTCTTTGTAAAGAAAAGCCAGTGATCAAGTCATATTTTGCCTGCAATAAGAGATACTATGCAAGGTCAGCAAAAGTACTGTGTGTGAAATAATATATTAGCACTTACTCTGAAGTTCCTTTGAAGTAACTCTATCTCTAACTCTATAGTGCCAGTTTTTTTTTTTCTTTAAGTTGTCCCCCCCAAAATACTCTATTTTCTAGGGGCAGGGGGGCTTGGGTTAAACCTGTCAACACAAGCATTATGCAACAAAAAATAAAAGGAAAAGTATACACTGCCCACCTCTGTATAACTGCTTTGTGCAGACTCTTCTGTAGGCCTTTCTGTAGATGTGGACTCCTGCAACACATGTTGCATTCAGAAATAATAGGTACTCAATTGTAAATTAAGTAAAGTTATTTAAAGATACTTTCTCCAAAAGACAGTCATCTGAGAGAGTTTCTTCACTGTCCTGTGCATTGGTGGGGAAATGGGCATTACAAAGTGTTGTACTTTCTTCCCTTTTGATGTAAAGTTTGGAAAAGTCCACTTACTGCACATGCTTCAGCCACTTGGAACAGATAAATGTGTTGGTATTTAAAACTGCACAAAAGAGGAAAACACAATTTCATTACAATGAAGTACACTGGGGGAAATGTGATCAATAACTCATGGCAACATTTTTTTTTTTTTATTAACTAGGCTACATGTAGTTTCACACATGCACACTTTCACAAGTAAGCAATTCATCACTAGGCCTACTCAAGGTTTAACAGTTGATATGACTGGACCAGCCATTGGGATTATAGGCCTATAGTGCAGCAAAAAATATTTTACAGTGTAAGATCATTTAAAGTTCATTTACCAGTAATGAAGGAGTTGCTGCTACTGGTCCCTGCTGTGTGTCTGAGGAAGAGCTGAACCCAGGACGGGTCGGTTCACATTCAACCCAAGGGCCAGCTCTTCTGCCGGGGTATAATGTGGGGGTGCAGGACCACCACCTGTTTGTTTTTCTTTTCTTTTTTTTCTCAGCCTTTTTCTTGGTTGCTTTTATAAACAAGCAAACATTTATTAACAGTGCCTTTTTAAAAGAGACTATAGTAGCCTATAGTACAAATTACCATTATGTAGAATATTCTAGTACTTCACTTTTACTTGTTCCCATGTTCTAGTAGTGGGTGGTGACTCTAACATTACAATGAACAAAGTTATTAATTATTTAGAAATTATTAAAATAAAAAATATATATACTGTAATAAGTGATAAAAACATCTAAACTACAAACTCACTACAAACTTAATTGGCTACTTTTTGCCAGCCCTCTCTCCTGGCTTTGCACATTTTAGGTGAAAACTTGTAATTAAGTTTTCAAATTCAGCATAACCTTCTAGCAATAGCTCTTGCTCTGCTGCAGAGTAAAACTGAGCGCGCTCTTTGGCCACGGTGAGCAGCCAATAGCAGCGTTGCTGATCAATGTTTCTACTATCGATACATATCCCCTTTTAAACCAGCGCATGAACGCGCAATTATCTCAGATAACTCAATCCAGCGATACTAATCATAAACAACAGGTGTGTTCGAAGAACCCAATTAGCCGGATCATGATTAGCACGATGATATCATCTTAGATGTCTCATTCGATCTCGGATGTTTTAAGTGACGTACGAAGAACGAGCCCCTGAACTTTGTGGCTCTTTAGCTACTTGTGTTAATAAATATACTTTTTGCACTTTAAGAGCGTTCCGGTGTTTTTGAAGCCTTGGGGGTGAGAGCTGGGACTCTTGTTGATCAGATCCCTGTTAATTGTTACGGCTAGTTTTGTTTTCTTTGAGTAGAAACAAAATTTAATTCGTAACACAATTCATTAAACTGGTTTATTGGCAAAATAGGTATGTGTGCATTAAAATATAAATACAACATTAAAAATTCAACCATTGATGGTTTTGTAACGATGAACAGCGAAGCGAGTACAAGGTATAGAATTACAGCTAACAGTTCACCGGAAATGCCCAGCTGGCTAATCGAAAACCAGGAAGTAACAGTGCTTATCGTCAATTGCCAAAGACACTGAACACATTCACTTTTCCTGAGCAATTTCATCTTTTCTCAGTGACACTGGTGGAGGCAGATCAGAATCCATGATGCAGAAGTTCTTTATTGTCAAAGACAATAAAAGTCAAACAATCCAAGACAACAGACGATAGACGTAATCAAAGTCCAGGCAAGGTTTCAAACACAGCGAGGCAGGCAAACAAAACCCAAACGATAGACAAAAAAGGTACGGGTAAATACAATAAACAGGCAAAAAGTAGTGATGGCAATTTCAAAACACTGCTTCATGAAGGTTCGAAACCTTTACGAATCTTTTGTTACGAATCAATGGTTCAGAGCGTTTATCAAACTGGCATTCAGTAAACGAGGCTTCATTGAATATGAGTTATAGGCTATATATATATATATATATATGGAAATGTTTGTATATATATATATATATATATATATATACAATATATTTTGTTCATTTTTCACATTGTGCAGAGTGATTTCAATGCAAAAAAGTCTTCAATATTTAATGCATCAAGTCTAAACTGATAAAACAAGTTGTTTGAAATATGGATTATTATTTAATAGACTATTATTGCTACTGTTACACAGATGCCTCATATGCATAATTAATGAAAATAATTAAACTCCAAAAAGAAACAAAACACATCCCTTCACAAATTGTTTTATGGCAACACTAGTTTTAAGCATTAAGAGTTCCTTTCACTGGAACTAAAGGGATAAGCCCAAGATTTTGTGGAATCTGAATTTCAAATTATTTACTTGAAAGTGTTTTATTTGTAAGTGATGGATCTAAACATGAACTTTGCTCATTAAACAACTTCGGGCAATACTTTTTCTTATGTCGCTGTAGATTAGACAATAGGCTGAAACTCTTCCCACATGTAGAGCACTGGTGCGGTTTCTCTCCAGTATGAACTCTCTCATGAGCTGTCAGGTGTCCTGACTGAGAGAAACTCTTTCCACAGTGTAAACACTTGTACGGTTTCTCTCCAGTATGAACTCTCTGGTGTGTTTGTAAGGCACTGTATCTAGGGTAGGTCTTTCCACAGTCAGAGCACATATAAGGTCTCACACCAGTATGAATACGCTCATGCACTTTTAAAGTCTGCAGTAGTGAAAAACTCTTTCCACAAAAAGAACAGAAGTGAGGCTTTACACCAGCATGACCTTTAAGGTGTCTTCTTAAGTTTGATTCCACAACAAATGTTTTATCACAGTGATCACAGCTGAATGATCTCACTCCAGAGTGACAGCGTAGATGATCATCGAGAGAGCCTTTGCACCTGAAACTCTTTCCACACTGAGAGCAAGTGAACGGTTTTTCTCCAGTGTGAATTCTCATGTGTGTGTTAAGATTTCCTTTTTGAAAGAATCTCTTTCCACACTCAAAACAGAAGAACATTTTTTCTCCAGTGTGAATCATCATGTGTCTCTTAAGGTCTGATTTATATACGAAACTCTTTCCACACTCAGAGCAGGTGAAAGATCCGTTGACTCCAGATTTTCCAGCTTGTTTCTGTGTGAAACTCTCTTCAGTCTTTATAACGACTGCATTTCCATCTTCATTTGTGAAATGGTGTTTGTCTTCATTCACTTCCATCAGGTCTAAAATCAACATATTCCATTAAATTTAAAAACAAAACAAATGAGAAACAAAGTTCATTCTTAATTCAGCACATATCTAGTTAACTAGTATCTAGTTTTAGATGTTATTTTTATATGTCAGTTTTCATCTTAATGTTCCTCATCAGTCATTAAAGGGAATGAAGGAAAACACCAACCTATTTGTTCCTCTGTATCTTCATCTTTTATTCTGCAGGGTTCTTCCTTAATCTCCATCTTTACAATAGTATGTCCGTAGTTTCTCCTGGAGTAATTCCTCCTGCTTGCTTCTTCTTCTCCTGTGGGAAGATGGGAATATTCCCCAGCATTTAAACTCTCATGAACGGCTGTGGGAGCTTCACTGACTGAAGGAGTGAATTGTGGTCGTTGTTGCTCATTTAGCAGATGATCATCACACTGACAATCACTCGAGATTATTCATGGTTTAAGTGGATTAAGGGTTTATTGCTGTAACCAGACAACCATTATACGTGTGAATGTGTGCAAAATTGTGACAAATTAAAAAAATGTTTGCAAGATATATAAAAAATTTACCTAAAATATAAACATTTCTGTCACTTAAGAGTGTAGCATAATTTACAGCAGCAATTTGTGAAAATGTTGTAAAATAAAACTACCTAGAAAATAGCTAAAATTATTAAATATATTTTGAGACAAAGATCTTCTTAATGATTTTCATTGGGTTTTTTTCCAAGAAGATTAAAGGGATTCTATACTGGTTTTTCATATTAAACTATGTTATTCCCTTAACTAAGACGAGTTGATACATACCTCTCTCGTCTCAGTGCGTACACTACATCGCTGTCTTGCGGCGGAATTTTGTTAGATCTTATCTCAGCCCTGTTCATTCAATACGGGCCAAGAAGAGAAGCGACTAAACACCTCCACGTTTTCCCTATTTAAATACAGTTACTAGAGTAGTGTAACTCGACCTATAGGACGGTGACACAAAATAAAACGTTGCGCTTTTCGACTCGGCGCAGTAATATCATCAATCGTGAAAAGTCCGCTTCTTTTCACGATTGATGATATTCTCGTGAAAAGAGACGAGAGAGGTATGTATCAACTCGTCTTAGTTAACCCTCTGGGGTCCAAGGTGTTTTTGGGGTCCTTGAGATGTTTTGACATACTCTGACATTTGTGCTTTTTTCAGTTGCTTATAAACATATTACTGGCAAAGGTGTAATTACACTCTATTTAGCACACACAGGGCTACCATAATGTGTTATCAACATGTATGTACATTTTTGTATTTTTGAGAGAATATTGTTTATGCGTGGTTATTGAAAAAACTAAAACTTAAAGTTTCTGAAATAAGGCCACAAAACACATACTAAATATGTGTCCACAAGACTTTTGACTAATGGATGTTGTGGCCTAGAGTTTTTTCTTCAAAATGATCTGAAAATCATCCTGAATTATCATTCACATAACACAATAGATTGTTTTAAATTGTGAAAAACATTTTTTTGTTTGCAAAGGCAATATGCGGATGGGCGGATCGGCCCAACCCCCTCATGAATAATTAGGCAGTTCTCACCTGAGCAGACTGCATACTAATGAGCCTTTCATTCAGGGGTGTCACACAAGAAAGAATGCAAGGACAATATATATATAAATAAATAAATATTTATATACACACACACACACACACACACACACATATATATATATATATATGTGTGTGTGTGTGTGTGTGTGTGTGTGTGTGTGTGTGTGTGTGTGTGTGTGTGTGTGTGTGTATATAAATATTTATTTATTTATATATATTGTCCTTGCATTCTTTCTTGTGTGACACCCCTGAATGAAAGGCTCATTAGTATATATATATATATATATATATATATATATATATATATATATATATATATATATATATATATATATATATATATATATATATATATATATATATATATATACAAACAATCAAAATATAAATGAAAGCCAAAAGCACATTTTTAGTCACACCTTTTAGCCATCCACATACCATTTTTAGCCATCCACCGCGGTAAAAATAAACCAGTCGCATTTCAAAGTCGTACGCGAAATGACCGCCAGGTGGCGCAAAGGGACATTTAGCAAAACGTAAGTGGGGCTAATGTCTATTAACAGTAGCCTAAGGATGAAATACTACAAGTTATGGTAATTTCCAAATAAGCCTACAACAAATTGTTGGTCATACAGATAAGATATAATCTTTTAAAACTGTAAAAGGCTAAAGTAGGCCTACACTCACAGGCTAAACACAAAACGTTTTCTCGCTCATGTGAGAATCAAACGTTTGGTTATTTCTCAGTAACAAAAGTCATAGCCGAGCGGTAGAACTGACGGTTCATCATCAAGATAACACAGGTTCAAATCCCGCACAAACATGGTCTGCTGTATATTTTATATTTATTATTGCAGAGAGATTTGTCTAGCTCTAAAACTCTGTTACACCATACAGTTTTGTTTTATATAGGCTATATATATATTTTTTATTTATTTATTCCAGGCTCTCACGCCACACCCCCGATTTCTCACGCTGAAGTGTCAACCCGGTCGGTCAAATTCCTGAAAGATATAGTTTATCTATAGATCTACCTGTTGAGCCACTCGTGATCGACTAGTTATACCGCAAATTAGTTAAAATATCCCGTAATCTATTTAGAGCGAGCGTGCATGCGAGACAGATATTGTGCTCCAAACCGTGCGCGCATGGCAGAGAGGTCTGTTCCCTACAACCTAGAGTTTTTAAAAACATGGTTTTAAGTAAAGTGTGATTTGCCAGGGGGGACTGGGATTTCCTTCTGGTCTAAACATCCCTACTTCTGCTGAATTATTTTAATCCCCACACCCCTCCCTCCACAGCTAATCAATGCTATAGGCTACTTCACCAATATCAAATATATAAAATAGAGATATGCAACAGGCACGTTTAAACGAAAAACAATAAAATCAAAACCAGCGTTTCAGTTGTTCATTAGTTCCAGTGGCCTTAATGCATGCACGGCTTTTCAAAATTTCACAAAGCGTGTTGAGATTATTTTGAATGAAATATTGAAGTTTATAATTAAGTGTTTTGGCACACCACGCCGAGTGGCCCTATGCATTTTTCTAAAGTCGGGTTTTATTCTGGCATCGTGAGTTAGTGTTCGACAAACGCGGCGGAGCGTTCATTTAGATTAATTTATTTATCTCATTATTACAGCTAAAATAACTTAATAGGCGACTCCGTAATTTTTTGGTCATACAGATAAGAGTAGAGTAGCTTACATCGTTCAAAACTGTAAACTTGTATTCATATTAGGCTAACGACAAAAACAGTAGCCTATATCTGTCCTCTGTCTTCGGGAACTGCGCGTCACAAAAATGAACCGAAAGCCACTTCAGCTCAGTCACGATAAGAAATCGGCTATGTCTAAAGCCTTTAAATGTCTAAATATTTAGGCTAATAAATGTTATCTGATTATGTAGGCTAATCCATATGAAAACGAGAGGTACGAGGATCTACTCAAACATGCGCTTCCCAATGAGAAAATGACAAGACATGGGTGAAAATCTCGCTCTAATTAAATGTAGGCTAAATCGCCCTGAATTAAAATGTAAAAACATAATAATGTATTTGTCGAAATGTTGCGATATTGTTTCATTTAAGTTCATAATTATTCTATAAATGTTATTTAATTTAGCAGCATTACCACGAAGCACCGTGTTTCGATATTTATTTGAATAATACAAAATAAAATAAAAACTTAATTCACAAATTGCATGCCTGGTTGTAAGGATCCAAAGATCCCTGTAGACTTTAATATTAAGTTGAACATTTTGTTCATGACAACAAATTAACAAGCGTTTTTTCAGATTATATTTAGTTTTGCTTGGAAAAAGCTGCCCCAAACCAGTTTTATTTCATCAATTATTGAAATAATGAAATATTTAGTAATAAACTTTTATGACAGAAATATCACTAGGCTACATGTAACTTAAATCATTTAATTCCTTCATTATCAACACTGTCTAGAATGGCGATTTAAGTGTGAATTGCGACTTCTCTTTGTGTTACAGTCAGCCTCAGACTCCGATAGCCTGTGGGGGGTTGGAGGGACAGTTGCTGGACAAAGGTGTTAATGTTCCTCTTTCATATGGAGAGTGTCGGATAGCCAGCCTGATGAGCAGGCAAAATTATTGTAAGGATAAATCTGTGTCCAAATGTAGGCCCCATATCTTATTAAATTATAAATATTGTAGTTTATTTATTGTAGCCTATTTAAAGTTTTTTTCACACAAAATTTCAATTGAAGTTATTGTAAGGTGAATTCAACAAGGCATGCTGTGTCTTTGAAGCAACAATTAAAGATTTTCGTGATTTGTATGGCTGACACGCAGCGACATATACAGTATTATCAGCTGTATGATGTGTTTTTACCCTGAAATGATTCATTTCGAGAGAGAGACCCGCGCGCGCAGCGAGGGAGACTAAATAAACTTGTTAAAAAGAGATCCAGCGCGAGAGAGGCAAAGAGAAACGCATGTTTTTAATTTAATTATGTTTCTTTGGACAATTTTCGTTTTGTAGGCCTACTGTTTTAATTGTTTAATTTAGCTGTAATTTCTTTGGCAATACAAATTTAAAATGTCGCAAGAATAAGATTAGCCTAGTGTTTCTTATTTTGCATCGCAAAAGAAATAAACTCTAAACAAGATGCAACCCTGTTTTAAATTAAACAATTTAAACCTTGAAATGTTCTAACTTGGTTTCAAACTTAAGTAATTTTAGTGTTCTTTTACATTACACAATAATTTAGCAGACTAAAGACGAGCTTCTTCATTTTCATTTTCTGATCGGCTGACAATCTTCCTTCATCAGTTTTTGTCGTTTGTGCAGCGGCTGCGGTTCTACAGGAATGTAGCAAATTTATGTTGTAATGATAATCAAACAAAACTCTTGACTTTAAATAAGTAAACAGATATAAACAGTTACCTATTTAAGCATCAAGGTGGGAAAATATA